TCAGATGCAGAAGAATCATGGAAAGCATGGGAAAGTTACCGCTTGCGATTGTATTCGGCGTTGTCATCGTCTCCACCACGCTCCTCCATTTCTGCCAGAAATATTGTTGCAGTGAAAAATTTTTTTTTATTTCGCCCGTCCCAGTAACAAAATTACACAAAAATAGCAGTGTATTATGACAAACAAACACCAATAAACACCGGTAGTAATAAAAACCTGAAAAATATGCATGTCAAAAAGCGCTTCTTTCACGTACGCATATGCCGTGAAAATGAGACGCCTTGCTAACACTGCTGGAGAATAAGGTAAAACTTCCTCGCTGTTTTCCCAACTAACAACATGCACTCCTGGAAAATGACTACATTCCGATCAAATCTCGAGAGCCCCAGGAGACTTGACAATCAAGCGCCACAATGTCACAACAGTCATCTGACACTCTTGCAACAAATCCTTGATCCAGACAAATGCAAATAGGAGTCTAACTTTAAAGCACACACAGTGGATCAGATTTTTATCGCGCCCTTGAAATCTACAGAAATGATTCGAAAAAAGCATATAATGCCTCGAAGTCTAATGTCAAACTGCATCGGATTGTAAGAAATTTAAGAAATAAACATCCAGGAAGAGGAACGAGGGATGCAGCCTCGATAGTGCACTAACGGGAGAGAACGCGCCTTCTTCCGATAAGTAACCAGTGAATTCTTTCAAAAAACCGATTGCACTTATAACACATTACTGATGATTTCAATAGCATTAATTGGTATATGAAGAGAGAGAGAGAGAAGGACTAGCTCATCTTTTTAAAAGTGTTAATAAACAATCAGTAATCAAAGGCAGTAATTAACAGTTGCATATTTTTTTAGTATCCATTTTTTCCAAAATCCTGAAATTTCGGGGAAATCCAAAAACAAGCTCAGCAGTTCCCCGCCCCGCTGAAAAAGCGATTCGCTCTCACCAGAAAGAAGTTTTTTCGAGGAACAAGAACCAGGGGACGCAGAGCAGCAAAACACTGAATTTTCTATATCACAACGAAAACGATGCTTTGGGAGGATGTCGCATCTGATGATATTTGTTCATCGTTTTGGAAATTTGCCCTCTCAAATAATGCTTCATCAACAGCTGTGAGACAACGAAGAATAAAGTTTGCTGGAGTAGGGGAGTTGAGGCACCAGGGAGGAGGAGAAAGAGGGAGGGCATCCGAAGTACCATAACCGGGAAGAATTCAATGTGTTTGTACATTTTACAAGCAAAATTACAGCTTGCATCATAGCACCAGTTGCTTGGCGCTGTGGGAAGGGTTGCTTTTGAGCGGACGCATTTGCTTTGTCACTTTTCTTATCAGTGGAGCGGCCTTTAGCAGCATGCTGCTGCCCAGTGCCCTCCTGTTCATCATCCTCCAGGCTACTCTGCGATGATGGATTTCCCCAAACTTGTCCAATTTAAGCTTCCATGAACTGCACTACCGGCCC